CAGATTTTAGAAGGTAAATCACAGATCAGGTATATCAAGAATAAAAACCATATATATTGGTACAGATTAATTCTAACCTTCACTGTTTTACAACAGACTTCCTGCAAAGTGAAATGACATTTCATCTATCCAGACAGTAGCACAAAATTAATTCACACAGCTGTCACTGATTTAAATAAGTCCACAGGGAATTATTTTGTTATGACAGCAGTGGACACTGCTAGATACTGCCAGAAGCAGCCACTGATGTTTCAGCTTAACTACAACCCAAATGTTAATGGCACGAGACTGTAAAAGAACAATTTAGTATCTGCTGTGTTCTTAAATATAAAGTTCCAACATATTTCAAAATGCAGTTAATTATTAAAATTTGATTCACATGCTGCATAAGGGCTAAAAGGGATACCAACAATAGACCAGATTTTATAAATATGAAACAGAAACATAACTAAAAAGTGTAAAACAGAAAAGAAATATTGTTAATGTGACTGATGTTTAGGTATAACATTTAAAAACACACTATGAGTTAAAAGTCTCTTCATATAACTCATGACAATTTCCTGATACGAGTCAAACACAAATCATTCTGAGGCACAGACATTTCTTTAATGGAAAATTGACAAGGGCAAGTTAATATCTCTAAAGGAATGGAGACTTTGAAAACTGAATTTTAGCTGTACTGTGTGCAACAGCCTTTAGATTACAGGTAGTGCACGCTACAAGCTGTAGGATGAATTAAATAGGAGTGCTTTTTTGATTCTGCATTAGTCAAAAATATAGTTAGTTAAAAAATTGAGTGGGGAGTGAATTAAAAATTAAGGATTTTTCCACCATCCATAGTTAGAAATTAGACCTGAACTTTTTTTAATCACACTTGATAGTTGAATAATAAATAGAATTATTTGGTGATGTCTCCAGGTTTTGGTGAATGTGGTCTAAGAAATGACTTTAAATACTAATACCATCGCTAACAATAAATATTTCCATCACAAAACATTTTTGAAGTTTTTTCAACTATTCTTCAGAAAATAAACAAGCTTCACAAATCCAATTTAGCTTGCCAGACATCACAATGGAGATTGCATTCTTCTAAACATACTTTGTGAAATCTGAGCTTGGAATATTTTGTTTTAATTATATTGATATTTAAAAGCAGCACCACAGGAGCACAGGCTACAAGATGGATTCACAGGAAGAAAGGGGAAGTATGTGTTTGCTCCAGCATAATTTCTACCCATTTTTCTCCAGCCCATAGAAGATCAGAAGACCATACTCCAGCAATGTTCTCCTACTTCACTTTATGTTTCACAGAAAGATTCTAGATGTGGATGAGGGCGTAAAAGAATGCCAGCAGATTTGCTAAATCACCCTTCCAAGTCAATAACCAATGTTAATATATCTCTTGCCATCCATGGCCAACGTTCTCTTCACACCAGAAGCACAGTGCAGAGTGGGAAGAGCTGAGAACCAGCACGATGTTTAGGCTTGAAGAGACAGAGGCACAAGACCTCAGCTACAAGCTGCTGAAGGTTTTGTACCTCTCCTTGATCCTGACTGTCCCCACAGCTGCCCTTCCTACAGCATCCTTACATGTGAAGCTCACCTCTGAGTCAAATCCACAATCTAGAAGACTAAATGCATTTTGCGTACAACTAAATAAAGTAAATCTATCCAAAGGTCACTCTGTTGCCGTACGCACCCGTTCCGATTTCCCAGGAGACCGCAGCTTGGCCAGTTACTGAGGTGACACCAATATGATGAGCAGCAAATGGCCTTTATTACACGTATACACTACCTTATATAGCCTAATTACTTCGTCTACGCCCCTAAGGGCACACACCACACATCAATCATTAGAGCAGGGAGGGAGCTTAACACATCAGACCCCGCGGGGGGGTCTCGCAGTTTCGCAGTTGCTGACAACATCTCCCCCTCTCCATGCTCAAGAAAGCATACTACAACTCGAGAGGACCCTAACCGCGTACATCCCGAAATCCTCGCACTGCGCCTATACATGCCATTGTCCTCTCGGTTAAGCCTTGCCCCGTTACATCCCGATTCGCAAAATAATCCTACCCTAATAACCCTACAATACTAGTAAAGTTATAGACAGAGAGATTAGAGATTAGAGTGATTGCTGATAGCTCTAGTGGCACTATCTATGCCCAATATATACCAACGTTGTCTCAGGTACCTGTTGGAAAGTACCTCAAAAATAAGAAACGTCTGTTCAGTATCAAGGCAGATGTCTCAAGCCTTGAGAGCAGTGCTCTCACAAACCTGCTGTATGGAATTGCTTGTTCTCCAGGCCTCAATTTGGCCACCTGCCCCTGAAGGGACCCATTCTAATGCCCATAATGTATACTGCACTGGCTTAAGCACCATGCACATCAGATTTGGTACATGCAGAAAGAGAAGGCCTAATACTGTCAGGATTTCTAATGCATTTAAAACAAGGAGTGATTTCAATCCCTGTTTCTCTGCACAATCTATCAGGCATGTGATGTCTTTCCGATTGAGGGATACCCCTCCCAGGCCTCTGTTACCGTTCCCTACTACCAGGAAGATCTCTAGTACTTTTCCTTCCTCTATCAGGCTAGATCTAAACTTCCCACAACCTGTTAGTGCATCTCTCTTAACTCCCAAATGCAAATTCACCTTTCTCCTTTCGCTATCCTGTTCAGTCACAGCTGGAAGCTGCGAGCTCCGCACCGCTCCCACTGTGCCCATCTCCCTTTGATCATGCACTGACTGTTGTAGAGGCTTCTGATTGGTTGCATGCGCAATCTTGTAAAAGGATATGTGGGTCGAGTCAATGGGTCTGAACACTGTGACAGAGAGTGGGTACGGAGACTATCGTTATTTCTTTCTCCATCGGGTGTAACCTGAGCAGAGGGCGCCGGCCGGACGCCACCTACACCTTCAGGTGCAGTCAGAGTGGACAGTGCTGGCCGTACACTATCATCCGAGCACCTGTAAGTTACATCGCTTCCCTTTCTCTCTGCTGTTTTTTCTTCTACCGCTTCTCTAACTTTTGACCAATCCATACCCGAGCCTTGCTCGCAGTCCCCACCCCCCTGGGTGTTACTGCATTCCACCTCCTGAGAGGAGACAGCAAGTGTCCCATCCCAGCTCACTTTTCCCCCTGCCCCCACAGGTGGTGTTAGATTACACAGAGAAGGATACAGCGGTTGTCCTGAATGCGGCTGAGAAGTTTCAGCGACCTTGGATTCCTGCACTTGAGCCGTTTTGCAAGATAAAAGTGCAGACAGTTCAGCGCAGTCTTCTTCTACTTGTTTATGCGAAGCTGAATCCGAGGGGGCGGTGAAGAGGGATGCCGATGGTGCAGACGAGATGTTAGTCGCCATAGTTGAGGGCATATTTGCAGTGTTCTCTTCCTCAGTGGACCTGTAAGAAAGCACGCTCCCCGCACAAGTAAGCATAATCCTGCCCAAGAGGCGCTCCCCCATTCCCATGGTTAACGCCACTGTGGGCAAGGGGCTCAATGAGGTACGGGACCCCGATCTTGGGTAGGCAGAGTTGCATTGTCTGGCCCATTTGGTGTTCCGGGGGAGGGGCCCTGGGCCTACGGCACCCTCCCATCCTCGTTTCCCTGCGGCACTATGACAAACTTCTGACATTGGTGTGCAACATGTCCAGCTCCGCCGCACAATTGGCACCGCCTCTCCGGTCCCTGTGAACCACCCTGCCCCGTCTTCTCAGGGCACTGCGCCTTGAAGTGACCACGCTGCCCACACTTAAAACACGGGCCTTTATTCCTTTCTTCCCTGACCTGAGTGGCTGACATCACCGCGGTCTTAACTACAGAACTAACTGAAGCAGCCATCCCCTGCATGGCGGCTACTAGTCCCTCATTAGTTAATGGTGTGACTTTTTGATGATCTAATACATACTTAATAAGCTCCCCTGGGGTAGTTAGGGTACCCGGTGCTGCTCTGATGATTTGCTGGATGTCTGGCAACGATTTCTGCTTAAGACAATCTATTATGACTGCGGATTGGACCTCCCTTGGGAGATCAGATCCCTCCACTGCGCGAATTAGGCGATTTGCAAAATCAGAAAATGACTCGGAGGGGCCCTGCTTTATGTCTGCCCACGGAAGCACAGGTTCCGCAATCTTAGCCAATTCTCGCAGGGCTTGAAGGGCTGCAGTTGTAATGGCTGCCAGCTCTCCTGCTCTGAGCAATGCTGCTTGGCCCTCCGGGGATCCCACCATTCCATCTGCCAGGCCCTGAAGACGTGCGAGATTAGTTCTATCGCCTCTGCGCTGGCCGTTGGCTGGATGGTGGGGGTCACGGGTGGCAGCAGCCACCACAGCTTGAAGTAGTCTATTCCATTCATCATACCACAGGGTGTATTGTACGGGCTCAAGAATAACATGCATAAGGTTCACCACATCATATGGCAAAAGACTAGAAGCCATAAGAGCTTCCACTGCTGCCATAGTAACAGGGGAACGCAGGCCTTTGCTCTTAACTAAATCCGAAAGGCGAATAATCGCTTTGGAATCCAAAGGAGTCCAAGCTGGACCCTCTGGTTTTACCACCACCGAGAGAGTAAGCGCGGTACCTGCTGGATCTGCGGCCCATATGTCTTCTCTCACACGAGCCCAATCAGTGAGGGTAGGCGGGCCCCATGAAGCTGTCGATATGGGACCACGTCCCTCCTGAGCAGATCCCGGAGCCATCCCCATTGGAACACCCCCCCCACAGCAAAGCTGTGCGGGACAATCCATGCCCCTCGGGGGGTGGCCGCCGTAGCAAGCGGAATCGGGCAGTAGGTGAGTCCCGCCTCCACTGTCGCATTCCACAGGTCGTATCACGGCTCCCCCAGACATCTCTCCCTCCTCAAGGACCCTCTTATCAACTGTGCTAGAAGTTATACCGCTTTCCTCCGCCGACCCCCTTTCCCCGTTATCTTTACAGGGCTTAAGTGAAGGATATATGCTGCGAGCCGGGTACGGAGGTGGGTCCTCCTCTTTATGGTATGATCGCTCCTGCTTCACTTCGTTCTTCTTTATCTCCAGGGTCGTTGTTTCTGGTGGGGCCGAAGGAGTCAGCGCCATCTTGCCCTCCAGCGAATCTGTAGGGGAGACAAGACCCCCCCCCTGGCCCTAACCCCAGCAGCTCCCTAGCACGGTCACCTGCAATCTTCTCCTCTTTCGCTTTCCTAAGAGCTGTTAAAATCAATCCCCACACCTTAAACTCTGCCGCTTTCTGAGTTAACATTGTCCTCTGTGAGAGCGCGGCAGTAAACGAATCCCAACTATCAGGATCATATAAGTCAGAAGGGGATGATAATAGCCCCTCTTTCTCCAGCAACGAGAGTGTCGCTGAAATCTCCTTCTTAGAAGGAACATTTTTCCCGCAGTAAATTTTGCATGCATGAAAAATCACCTTTATGACGGCTTCCATAACGCCTCCGGCTGAACTTACACCTGGCCTCTTCTGGCGTCTCCCCCCTAGCGTCCTAGGGGAATCCTGGCTCCTTTTCCCGAGCCTCCCGCCTGACGAGGAGTAATGCGCACTCCTCCCCGTCCCCGGGCTTCCACTACTCCACGGATTTGAATTTACCGCTACCGCAATGGGTTCCTGCTTCTGGCAGACAGCTGACTCACTCCCAGGTATCACGTCGGTCGGGGTCACCACATGTTGCCGTACGCACCCGTTCCGATTTCCCAGGAGACCGCAGCTTGGCCAGTTACTGAGGTGACACCAATATGATGAGCAGCAAATGGCCTTTATTACACGTATACACTACCTTATATAGCCTAATTACTTCGTCTACGCCCCTAAGGGCACACACCACACATCAATCATTAGAGCAGGGAGGGAGCTTAACACATCAGACCCCACGGGGGGGTCTCGCAGTTTCGCAGTTGCTGACAACACACTCTTACCTTTTCTACATGTTTTTAAAAAGAGCTTTTCAGAATGCCTTTCAACAAAAACATATTAAAAAAAAAAAAAGTATTTTTCTAGCTTTTCCTAAAGAAACACTATCTCAGAGTTGGCAAATGCAAAGTAATAACCATTGACCAGAGCTCATAAGGAAAAATTTCAGACCTTGAGTATCCATTTACCACAATGAAGATTTCATCCTATTTTCTTACAGATTTGCATCTCTGATATTAAATAAGTTAAAAAAAAAAAAAAAAAACCAATAAAAAACAAAACTATATTTGGGAATTATTTTGAGGAAACAATATCTATCTTGGTAGAGTGCCTTGCACATAAATCTTTGAAGCATGCTAAAAACAAGTGTAATGAAGTCAAACAGTACTCTGTTCTCCCTCTTATTGTAGATACTGTGACCAAAAAAAAATGCATCTATGTAAGTTTTTATCAGCAGTTAATTTTAAGTTTAGTGCACATTCAGAGTAGAAAAATAACACTGTCATAATAGTTATTGTGGTTGCTTCCTTGGTACAAGCTGATCACCATGCTGAAATGCCACTGCTATTGCTTTAATACCTAATTTAGTGGGGTTAAGTCCCCATGATCAAATGAATAGCAAATAGCTCAGTTTACTTAAGTGCAGGTATTTACTACTCATTTACTGCTAATAATTTTCCTCTCAAGTTTTAAACGCATGTGTTTAACTATGCAAGACCACCACTTACCTGATCAAAAATACACATCACAGCAGACTACTCACGATATAAATAAGCACGTTGCATACAATGCATACAATTTCATCTCATTGCTTTCGTATGCAAGGAGTTCTAACTAGAAGTAGCAACAATGTCTTTTTAAAAGAAAATCAATCTACAACCAATTTCTATTTAAATACTAATTAGAAATCAGTATTTCACTTATCTGAATTGTTATATGCTTGTATCAGAGAGACTTAATGTGTTTTAAACTATTTAAACAGTTTGAGCAGAATATGAGAAAACCAAGAAGTAATGCGAACATATGATTATTTCATGACCAGGCTTAGAGAATTTTGAAATCCTTGTTGAAGAGCTTTAGAACCCATTTTTCCAAATCACCTTAGAACAATAGCCACTACTGAAAATATTGAGAATATACTTGCAACTTGCTGTACGATTACGCATTCTTCAGTGAAGCAGGGTGCACAAAAAACGTGTAATTCTGGTCTCGTGACCAGTATACCATGAAATAAGTGCACGAATACCTGATAAGTGATAAGACAAGGGAAAATGGTTTTAAAATAAATGAGATTTAGGTTAAATGTTAGGAAGAAATTACTTACACAGAGAACAGTGAGGCCTTAGCATTGCTGCCCAGAGAGCTGTAGGCATTCCATCTTTGGAGGAGTTCAAGGCCAGATTGGATGGGGTCCTGGGCAGCCTGATCTGCTCTTGATTTAGTGGCTGGTAACCCTGCCTGAAGCACAGGAGTTGGAACTACATTATTTTTAAGATCCATTCTAACCCAAGCTATTCTATTATTCCATTACATGATTTTCTCCTGATGTTACCTGACAGATAATGGCTTCTTCTGCTGCAATCAGTACAACAGAGAATTTCAATTTACAAGCCTTTAGTCATGCTAAAAGCACATGAACCATGTTAATGAATGAGCCATTAATATACTCACTGTTATATTTACTTTTATTGCAGTATATAAACTCATATAATGACTTTATGCATGCACACATATCAAAGTTCACTTGGAACCTCAAGCATTTCCTAAATCATAATATGCATTTAAATGAATTCTACAGGTTTGAAGACCTTTAAAGATTTTAAAAATAGACAAACCATCATAAACACCTTGTTCAGTCTCTTGTGTATGATAGACCACAGTATTTGTTGTTCAAAGTCCACCGTTGAACTAAATCTTTCCTCTAAAGAGCTTGGAGCTAAAATAAAACAGTGACATTCCTTAAGTGAGACCCTGCTGCTTCCGTGAGAAGTGGTCTTGGAAAATATACACAGTCTCAGAGGGATCAGCACATCCATGTTGTAAGATTCATCAGACAGGAAAATAAAGGACTAAGAAAGCCATTCATTTTTGTTAATACGTTATTTTAAGGATAGCTGAGAAGCAGTTGTCAATCTTACATTAAATGGGATTGTTTCTACCAGATTCAGTCTGGAACAACATTCAGACCTTGATCTTCTTATGAATATTATTCCCTTTAGAAAAGAACAGAACTCTTTGGGATTGCTTGATTAAATCAGGAAAGAAAACAGCAAGCATTTTCCTTTCAGACAGTGTGAAATACGTACAGCAGAATCTAATAGTGGTATTTTCAGACATGAAACAAATCAGTAGTTCTCCTGCTATTAACATGATAGCACATAATACATAATGATGTCAGAGAGGCTACTAACTACCACGTGAAGAAAAACTATGGTAGTTGGGACTTAGCCATTTTCAGTTTTACTAGGTAGAGTTTTATATGTAGAATGAAATGAAAGAAAAGATGATGAACACAGCTTAGCTTTCAAACACAAAAATACTTCTACTCGTTAGCATTAGCATGTACATCACTAACAATTTATTTTACAGAAGAATATATGCATTGATGTAGATACAGTTGTATGAAGTATACTGTATAAATTCCAGATACGTCAAAAATATCTGACATATATCACTCAGGGGGAATTAAATTTGATTCAGGAAAATTTTAATTGAATATCAGCTGGAATTTGTAAACAAGAAAATATATTAACTCATGGAATAGGCAGTATTCCAGTATCAGGAAGGCATGGAAAGCTTCAAGAAACAAGGATTAAGAGATGTAAAATGACATCCAAAATTAGCCAGGGAAAAACAGATGGGGAAAGCATCTTTGGTGAGAAAGACAATGATAATGAATATGCTAAAATTACTAAATTATTAAGATTTTGCTACAGCACCTTTATCATAAATGAAACAGCAAAGATACGAAATGTAAGAAAAATTATAAAAACAAGAGGATGCTAAGCATCAAATTATGCGAGCAGCTGAGACTGAAGAAAACATTTAACATATCAAAGGAAATGATTTACAAGACTGCTGTTGGAATTTTTTTTTTTTTTTTAAATAAGAGTGGGAAAGCATCAGGTACTTAAAGGCACGAAAATGAATAACATACCAGCTTTAAAAATAAAAATACGAAAAAATTAAGAAAATAACACAAATACATCAGTTAAAACTTTTAGTTTTATTCTAGCAAGTGTGGAATAAAATATTCAGAGAATCAGAAATTCTTAATAAGAACATGATGGAATCATCATTTAAAAAAAATAAAAAATCCCTCAAACAAACCAAATCATTCTTCAAGGAGAACCAGCGGAGTTGGAGGAAAGCAGAGATGAATACGTTAAATGTATCTAAATTCCAGTCAAGCACTTGTTACAGCAGGAACAATTCCCTGTTTTGTCCCCTTTGCTTTGATACTACTCCAGCAATTTGAAAAGCTATAAAGGAGGTAGAAATAGCCTAGGGAATCCATCAGGGATAAAGGTGAGAGCTAACTAAAAGTCTCCTCTATTTTTTTTTTTTTTTTTTTACCCTAAAGAACATCAAAGTGCTCCCATGAGACTTTTTTTTTTTTTCCACAAAGTTAAAGGCAGCCATTCCTTCTCATTGCAGAGCGCAGAAAGTGTAAGTGTAGCTTATAATGCCACGTAGCAGATCTTTTTCTGATCTTACACAAAGAATTCCCAACTGCTATACATATGTGAGCGCTGCTTCAAAATAAATGCCTCCTGCTTTATTCTGTTGCCCCATGACACTGGAAGTGGACATTTGTAGAATTGCAGCAGAGAGGTAGACTACGTGTATGCAGCAAGGGTGTCTCATTGAATCCCTCTATGTGGAAAAAATTGTCATTCTGCACATTTATGGTGCCCAAACAGTGGATGTGAGCACAGTGAAGCAGTGGTGACAGCATCAGTGAGTCACCTCTGCTGTTGCAGATTGATACAAGCATGGCGTGAAAGCTCTTGCTCACTGCAGATGAAAATGCATAGCTAATGTAACAATGGCTACATTAAAAGTTGTGTTTGTTTGTTTTTGAGGCTGAGAATTTGCTCCATCAAACAGTGCTATTGCACTCTTTGTATCTGTAGTGGTGTCCATGGAAATAAATAGGAGGCATTTCTTTCGGAGCACCTACATATTTCCTAGCATATAATGAACTCTTACTCTTAAAATAAGCTTTATTTTCTTCAGGAATTCATAATAATGAATCAAAAATAGACTCTGTAAAAAGCTCTGTAGCTTGCTTTCTCCGTAGCTCTTGGTGCAACACTTCAAAAAGAGTTCTAATGTATCCAAATCTTACGAGCTTACTAAGTAAACACTGCATAAATACCAATCATTTGTCAACCACTGTAAAAGAGACTAAGCATCAAAAATCTAGCTAACAAAGTAAACGGATATTGTAACTTTTGACAGTTCTGCTCTCTTTACAGTCACTGGTCAACAACACAGACTCTATCTAGTAAACTAAGCTTGGTGCCTTATTGCTCTCTACAGCTCCCTCAAAGGAGGTTGCAGTGAAGTGGGGATTGGCCTCTTTTCCCAAGGAACTGTGCTAAGACAAGAGGTAGTGGCCTTAAGTTGTGCCAGAGGAGGTTCAGGTGGGATATTAAAGGGTCGTTTCTTCTCAAAATTGTTCTGAGGCATTGGCAGAGTCTGCCCAGGGATGTACTGGAGATGTTCAAGATCTGTGGAGATGTGACACTAAGGGACATGGCTAGTGGGCATAGTGGGGGTGGGTTGGTGGTTGGAGTAGGTGATCTTAGCAGCCTTTTCCAATCAACCTGCGACTAAAGATCTACGACACTGGCCACAACAGGGCCAGGGCCAAATCACCGGACATGCACACCAATATGGTGAACAGCAAAATGGCATTTATTACAAGTGAACTCTAGCTTATATACCCTATGTACTTCGTCAACACCCCCAAAGCGTGCGTCATACATCCATCACAGAGCAGGGGAGGTCCTGCCGCTGACATCCTGATATCGCCTCGTTAACGCCTACTCCTGACACATCACATTCCGATTTCCACGCCAGATGCCTAATACAGTATCTGCAACACAACCTTAATGATTCTGTGATTCTATGTTCCCTAACTGACCAGAAGAAAAAAAAAAAAAAATTAAAAACACAGAAGATGCAACTAAAACTACTTACAGCTATCACAGGTTATTTTCTTTGTGGAAATGGTCACAGCATATTTGTAGATGAATATTTGTGTGTTATGCTGTAATAGAAGTCCTTCTATAGTTACTTTTTTTTTTTTTTTCTTTTTTTCTTTTTTTCTCCTACTGAATAAGACAAATTTTGCTACACTACACAGTACTCAAGGCCTGGGCAGGATTTTAAACATTATGATACTGAAAATCTCAAAGGGATGAATCAAAGGAAGATCATTCTGTCACACACATAGATATTAAGTATGCTAAAATTATACAGTAATATTAGTTCAAAATGTAAATTCAGTGGGAAAAAATACTTTATTAGGGATAAATTCAAGTGTTACAGATACTAAGATGCAGGACAGATAGAACATTGCAGAGCAGATAGCATGAAGGTTTTTTTTTTTACAATAGCAGGAACTCATGGGAAGAAAGTGTACTTCTTTGTTTTCTCACCACATTTCAAAATGGATAACACAAAAGCCAGACAACTGAATTGAACTGTGTACTAAACACAGTAATAACAACCATTTACTTCTGAAGTTATACCATGATACAATAGATTGATGCTCCTTATTATCCATATTAAAACAAAACTCTCTCTAAATCATTTTAAATAAGGGCTGAACAGAAAGCATCATGCTAGTGTTGCTCATGCGGAATTGCTCTCAGGCAACTTATTCCAGACAAATCGCATTTAAAGCACTTTCCTTGTGCTGACTTCTCTTTCTCCTAGAAAGATACAAGGAAAAAGAACTGATTTAAGAGGGCTCATTAGCTGCCTAAAGACGTAGACAAAACTGAGGGATTTTCAGAGTGCTAGCATGTTTTTACACAAGTAGCAATCACTGAAAATCTGGCTTAGCAATGTTCCTTACTGCTTGCTTATTTTATTTCACTGAGTCAGTGGACATGACCTAGGTCTCAAATTAATTTTTTATTGTCCATTTCCTTCCTACGTTTCTTTTCCTCCAGCTAAATACAAGGTTTTCTCCAGGAAAGACTAAAACCAGCTCCATATAGATAGAACAAACCACTTCAGGATCCCTCACACACATCCCCAAGAATATTTTCCAAAACCACAGTGTTTATAATCAGTGAAAGTGCCAGGAATGTACAGACTGTTGTCTGTAAGTGCTTTAAGATTTTTTGTTTTCCCTATATTCGACATAGAAACTGAAATCTGATGCAAAAAGTGCAACATCTTGTATACACAACTTCTTTTGTACGCACATTTTTCTGTTTAGTTGCTCATACTGCCAGCAGAAGCCTGAATACATGATTCACTTCCCCGCAATGTGACAGAAGTAGTATCATTTTTAGACTTGCTCTCGATGAATTCAATTGAAAGCTTAAATCTTAAAAATATACCAAATTTTTGGCCCTGGTATTAGGGCCAAAATATCCTCACACATCACCTTTACAATTGTCTCCAGAGAAGACCTGGTTCTTTGCATCATATCTATGCTGTCAATTTAGACATTTATGCCAAGCTTCTCCTTATAGAAGCTTATTTTGTTAAGTTCTTAATATTTTTTTCTTCCCCTGAAACCTGGATTTTCTTAAGTAAGCTGTAATTTCCCTGCTACAGCTTCAGCAGGTTCTTTTTCTGACCTTATATGGGAAAGAACTATAAAAATAACCTGTAATAAAATCTGCCTCTAGTTACCCTTGAAAATTGCTGAATAGATTCAGAAGTACAGAAAACCACACCATACGTCCTTGATGGATAGCAGTCCCTTTGTGGTCCCACCAGTGAAATCTGACATGCAGTCTCTTGGCCAGTGCAGCAACATCAGTCAAAGACACCTGCACTTCTCACTGACTTGATGCAACATGAACAACACTGCAGAGCCTAGAGAAGAGATTGGATTACTGAGAAACTCTTCCACATCTTAACATTTCTGGGAGTCCAACAATGCAAAATCTTATTTCTAGAATGAAAAGAGAATATTTCTCCTGTTTTCCAAAACTTGACTGAAGTGTACTTTAATTACATCTTGTGAACCAGAGTCCCAGTAACTCCAGCAGTTCACAGCTTGAACTCACACTGAGATGAAAATTTCTTCAGTGGAGAAACAGCCTGTGCTGAATAGCTATTCTGCCACAATTAGACTGCCACTGGAAATTAAACTTGCATTAGTATTTCCATATAACTTTACATCTTGTAATGCAGAAATTAAGTGTCAAAGCATTTAATTGCAGCAGATCTGGAAGATTAAATGTTTCTATCAGAATGAGTTAGTGACTGCGGATAACTTTTAAATAGTATAAATATTTACTATAACTTTCTATTCTACTTTATTACATTATCATTTTCTGATTCCAAGAATAACATCCTAATTATTCTCGCTCTCCCTAGATGTTTTCCTCCTGTACCATATGGAATTACTGATAAGAATAATCATCAAATTGATTCAAATTTTGTGATAAATCCTACACCAAAATGCACAGTCATTTATTCTGAACTTTTTTTCTTTTAGAAGCCCTCATTGCAAGATAAAATTTGAAGGAGCTGCAGAAAGGAAGAAGTACTTTGCTAACTGCTTTGTTGTAATTTTATTCTGCATTTTATTGATAGATCAACGCAGGAAAAAACAGCTGCATGATATAACTGAAACAGTTTGATAGACAGATATTTTTCTTCAAGCATATACATGTATACATGTATAAATATGCACACACAGTCTTCCACACATCACTCAGTTTCTAAGCCCATGTGGAAAATAAAACTGCCTAAAAACATCTGTGATCATTTGGTACTGTCAACCTCTACAACAAACAATAGCATCATGTGAGTTTTGATAAAAACAGGGAGAGAAAAAACATTTTCAGCTCAGGAGAGGCTACTCCTATGACAAAGAACTTCAATTTCACTGAAGACTGCAGAAGGGTTTTCAGTGTCCTGCACTGTTTTGGACAAAAGGTTAAGAAATCGGGATATACTCAACAAGTCAAAAACTGCACATGTGCTAAACTTTATGTGACTAAAAATAAGTCTGTAGAAAAAAAAAAGCAGTAGGAAATATTCTGTAACTTGTACAAAGACAATGTGCACTTGCTCAGTTTCATAAGCGTTATTTAAAGGTACGTACTATGAATTTGAGCAAAGGTAAGAACTGAAAGAAAAAAACCAAAAAGACCAAAGATAAGGGCTTTAAGTGGCACCAGGGAAAGTTCACATTGCATATTAGGAAAAGTTGCTTCTCAGAAAGAGCTGTGATCCAGTGGCACAGGCTGCCCAGGGAGACGGAAGAGTTCAAGAACCATGGAGATGTGGCACTGAGGAACACGGTTAGTGGGAGTGGTGTGGCTGGGTTGATCTTAGTAAACTTCTCCAACCTTAATGATTCTACACTGTTACTGATAGCGTAACCTTAATAAAACCATAAGGTAGTATCAGTAATGAGGTGGGTAGAAGGTGTTCAGACAAATTCCTTGTTACTCTTTGTTCTCAGAGTGAACTGTTCTTTGAGCACCACAATTGCACTGATAATACTTACTGACCTGACAATTAACAATCAAGTTACAGTCTCCTAAAATTTCTCCCTTCCAGATCAAATACAGCTTACAGAAGGATTTGGTGAATATTTCAGCTGTTTTTGGAAAGTTATTGAAAATTTTCAAGTGAAAGTCCATTTTCTACACAAAGAAAAAAGTATTTCCAAAAAGAATAAGAAAAACTTGTGTCTGATAGTAACAAACAGCAAATGCAATCATCATTATTGTTCAACAGATTCTAGCAAGCTTAAAAGCAAAATGTGGGTTTGAACTGAGGTTCAGG